TATCTCCTTTTATTATCAATTGAGTTAAGATCTTTTATTTACGACCTTTAACATGCTTCAAATGCAAACAATAAAAAATTGGCCTTTTAATGCAAATTCGCAACATTTTTTTTATTTAGTTGAATGTTTTATCAATCACAGTATAAATAAAATTGTGTTTAACAAAAAATAAAACCCATATTGTCTAATATTTAGTTTCATTTAATTAAAAGCTTTGGCTACAAAGGCAAGGTTTCATTCCTTTAAAAATCATTACTTTCTCGTTTACTGGAACAATACTGTGGAATGTTGGCTCGATTGGCTTTAAGTGCGCTTGCACTTTAACAGTTTCCACGCCATACGATCCGATCAGCTCTACTCACACATAATACGCCTTACAATTTTTAATTGTACAACAATGCGCCGGCGCATAAGCCACTGATCTGAGCACACACATGCACACACACATTAACGCAGAGATGAAATTAAAGTTTGACCGGTTGGTCAGCCGGCCGGCACATTCCAAGCGCAATCAATTTAATTTACGTTTCTGTTGCCGATGACGAGGGTGTTTGGTGAAGGGGCTGGGGGCACTGGCTGTGAGAGCGGGCCAGTTGAATTGAAAGCGCAGCCGCAACAGCTTGAAGTGTCAAAATTGATAGTCAGAGGCAGACAATTGAAAGTGCTGCCCAGCGCACTTACCAACAAACATACAACACACACAGCCATACACTCCAGGCAATTGTATGTACATGAAATGCTTTGTGTAGCTGCTGCTCTTACTGTTGTTGTTGCATTTTGAACACGCTTCATTGTTGATAAATGCGCCTTTATTTATAGACATTGAAAGCGGCTGCTTGTGTTTCGTCTGCGCATGTCTTCTTTCTTCATCGCTTTAAAATGAAATTATTTTACTTGACTCAAAAGGCGCGGCTTCTAAAGATGCTCTTTCTTGCATACGTGTGTTTTTATGTATGAGTGTGTGTGTGTGCCTGTGACATGTCAAAAGTCAAAATGCCGCCACTCAATTACATACGTTGCGAGTGTTTGAGTGGAGGCCGCAGTTCAAGTCAAAATTCTTATATTCCCATCAAATGTGTGTGTGTCGTGTTAAGTAACTGAATACAACAATTGAATGCAACATAAATTTGAAACTCGCCCCACCCCCAAATACGCCCACTTAATGCTAATTTAATTTGCATTTTGTGCATTGTCATGCCCTTTTCGGCTCTTGGTCTGGCAACGCCATCTTTGTGTGCACTTTTTTTTTGGCTTGCGCTCATTTATTTTCACACGCCTGCGTCAACGTTGACGTTGGCGCTGACTTTGGCGTTGCTGCGCTGCCGCGTCGTCGTTGTCGCCCTGGTTGTCATGGCAACGTACAATGACCAGCAGCGTCGCAGTTGTTGTTATTGTAAGTTTAACGTAGTACGTGTAGTAAAAATGCCGGCAAGCTTTTGCCCTTTGCTGCACGCCCGCCTGTATCCTGTGTTGAAGGTAAAGGCAACCCTGCGTCACTCGTACGTCCTCGTCATTGTTGTCCTTTTTGCCTTGATGCGTCATGCCACAATTTACTTGCGCTTTTTCCTCCTTTTTTTTGTATCCGTTTGCAACGCTTTTAGTATATAACTTGGTTTTGTACTTAGCACACACGCACATACATACATCCATATACATACATACTTGTATGTTTACATAGGCAAACATTTACCGCTTGTTCATTAAGGGTTGAGGTGTGTGTAGTTGAGTGAGTGTGTGTGTGAGTGCCTCAACATATTTGGTGTATTACTCATCCACATTTTTTGCGTAGACAGACGCGTCAAGCTGACGACTACGGCCTAGTGAAAAAAAATTTAATTTCGAATGAAGTGAGTGATATCGGATTAATTGCTTTTTTAATGCGCTGCGACCAACAAGCGTCAAATTTTTTGATGGTATTGCTGCCATGATCTAAATAAGCATAGTGTTATGTTTTCAGCCATGTACATATACATAAATACATACATATGTATGTATGTAGTATACATATCTCATATACATGTATACATATGTATGTATGTATTTAAAATCATAGTAACCGTAATCGTTGAGACTGTCGTCGCGCTGCTCGCCTGTGGTGATGATTGTTGTATGTATGTATGTAGTTGTTGTATTTCTGGGTTCAGTGCACTTTATAACGGTCTTTGTTTTTTTTTTTTGCACTCCCCGTTGTAAATTGTTTATATCATTTCAAATTTATGTACATATCTGACTTATATTTGAAAAACAACTGACATACCTATTCACACACATATGTATGTACATATATGTATGTACATATTTGTAAGGTTATTATGTGTTTTCAGAATATGTTAATTTCATTGTACAGAAACTGTTATTATGCATTGTTCAAACACGAATTGAATAACATATTTTGATGTATTTGCATTTTGGGTTTAACAACAAAGTATTTCATGTTCTATATGAAAAATTCATCATTATTCTAAACCTAATTACATAATTTATATAAATTTGTATACTAATGAAACAAAGAAAATGCGTACATAATTATGCATTTATTTCCTTCAAAAATTAATTTTTGTAATTTCTACTCGTACATGTCAAATGCAAAATTTGTTTGGATATCATTTTTATTTTTTAGACTCATTTTTAAAGATATTATGGAACCCAATCAACTAATTTCAATTTAAGATTGTTTTTGAAAATCAGTTGGGTATTAAAATTGACAATAAGAATGACTAAAATTCTTGCCTGTTTATTATCCCCAAGCACTTGAACAATTCCAAAACGTCACTGACTGACTCACTTCCTCCCTGGGGTAAGGAACGTTGTCTCTAACTGATGGAAACACTCTGCATATGGCTTTGACTAAGCACGTGCCGGCATAGCTAAGCAATTGAATGTGGTTGTTGTTGCTGTTGCTGTTACTGCTGCTGAATCATACGACAAAGAAACCTCTAAAACAGCTGCTGCTAGTTTTGTTGTCGTCTCTTTGCTCCATTTTTATTTACAAGTGGACTGCTGTTGTTGTTGGCAATCGCTTAACAGCTCATGCAAAATCCCAATTGTGTCGCACCTACTAAACAGCATAAAGCGTCGCCATATTTGTTGCCTGCTTTCCTGCCTGCTCGTCAACATAAATTTTCCATACCCATTCCATTTGAACCATCAAAAGGGTATATTTGTTTTTGTAACAAGTAAAAGGAGCCACCTCCGAGTCCATAAAGTATTCACAAATCGATCCATGTTGGATCAACCTTCTGAATGAAAGCAGTGATTTTGCAGATGCTTCTGTAGTTCTCTTTCTCTATTTCAAAGTTCATTTACATCGGCTAGTACTAATTAAAGTTATATAAGATAACAAATTAATTTTGGATGCAGGGTATTTCGTTGCTGGTTTTGCATGAATGCAGCATTCTCTTATTTTTCATTCGTTTTTTGCAACCCCTAAGCAGGACATTAAAAGTTTTTGGATTTTGCATATATGTACATACATATGTATAGTATATATATATAATTTTTTTTTTGCTTTGTTTTAATGCTATTTTTGGTGACCGTTACTTCTGTTACTTTGCTTTCTCTCCACGCTCCAGCGCCCGCTGCCCGTTCTGTAAACACTCTGCTGCATTCTCTTTCTCTCTTCACTTCATTTAAATTCTTTGCTACGGTTTCGGTTTCATTTACTCGAGCGAGTAATTCGATTTTCAAGTGACGCATTGCCGGCGCCTTTCCGCTCCTCTTCCCCCTCCCTCTGTGCTCACATTACCATTCAACTTAACAGCAGTCTGTATGTTCTACATGTACGAATGTATGTATATGTATATATTTATGTACAAGTATATCTATTCGTATGCTTCTTTTTACTGCTGTTTCATTAAAATTTTCTGGTATTTTCAAAGATGATTCACGTAAAAAAAATAAGTAAAAAATAAGAAGCAAGTGCACTACTTGCGATTACGCATAAGCATTGTGTCTGCTATTATCAGTTTTAACAGTATTTGTTTTCATTTTATTCAATTCGTAACAGTTCGGGTTATCATACATAATATTCTGCAGAATTGTGAGTTTTAAAATTGCATTAACATGCAGGAAAATGTATGTAAATAAAATTCGAAGTGTTGTTTGTTAAAAGTATTCCTTTTTTTCTCTTAATTATGAATCAGAGGTGACAACAACCAAGCGTAATATACCGATTGCAACACGATTTTATAAACAATCCCCCTACAATTACCTTTTTTTTTATAAAACCAACATTGTAGCGATAGGAGTTAAATATTATTTTGTGACAAGTCTAAGAAAAAGTGAAATTGTAATGTATAGCTGAATATGTAACTCAAAAAAGGGGCTCGTAAATAAGCTGTCATCATTCTCGAAATGATAAAATGTTTAGTTTATTAACCTAAAAATGCAATAAATGAGTTATTGCCCTCATTTGTTAACAGTGCTAAATTTAACAGTTGAAGCTGTCAGATAACATAGAGAGTAACAGTTTTCACTTCATGCTCTTGTGGTTTGTGTCTTTGCTAAAACGTTTTATTTATGATTTCCACTAGATCTTTGCTTGACTTAGGTTGCGTATTATTATTATTTTTATCAAATGCACGTTTAAAGCTGTTGCATATTTGCGAAATAAGGTCACGTTGTTGTCGTCAATTGAAGATAAACTGCTGTAGCCGGCAAATTAATTCAATTCGCCTTATCGACAGTGCGGAAGCAGAAAGATTTCATTTGAAATCGGCACAGAACGGCAGCGGCAGCGTCAGTGGCGGCTAATTCAAAGCCATATCCGAGACGTTGCAGCTGCAAATGTCAAATGTAAAAATAAATTCAAATCTATAGCTATAGTTATAGTTGAATTTAAAGTGTGCTGTGCCAATTAGACACGCCCGAAACAAATATAAAAACAAAAAAAAACAAAAAATACTACAAATGCAAACACACAAACACTTGAAAAACAACAGTAACAATTTCGATGAATACATTTTAATGCTGCGAAATTTTCGTGTTTTTTTAATCCACAGTAGAATAAAAACACTGTAAAAGAGAACTATAAAAATGGGAAAAGCTCAGAGCAAGCGTTCGATTGACATTACCACCGATCCCAAGAAGGTTGGCGAAGGGGACGAAGTGGCAGGCAAAGTGGAGAAAATCGAAGATGTCGATCAGAAGATTGGCGATGCGGCGGCACCGGCCGTAAATGGCGATGCAGCCCAGCCACAGGAGGGGGCGGGAGAGGTAAGAATTGCAATTGAATGATGAAAGAAAAGTAAACTGATCGACTTTGACATTGATTTGTTGTAGAAAAAGGAAACGGAAGACAGTTCTGAAAACGATAAAGACTTGACCACCGAAAAGGCAGAAGCTAAGAGCGATGGTGCAGCTGGCGACGTGGCTGCGGCGGCAGGAGCTGAAGGTGCGTCCAAGGATGAGGCAGCTGGTGCCTCACCAAAGGAAGCAGGTGCCGAGGAAATCTCACCTTTGGCCGATGAGAGCATCAAGTCCAAGTCCAAAAAGGATAAGATGAAAAAGAAATGGTCATTCCGTAACATCTCATTTGGCAAGAAGGACAAACAAAAGCCAGCCAAGACAGAAGAGCCGGCCAAGACGGAGGAACCAGCGACGGCGGCAGCAACGGCAGCAGCATCAGCTGAAGCAGCGACCACAACGAATGGCGAGGCGGATCAGCCCGCAGCAGCAGCTGCAGAGGTAAGCAACCAACTATTCGCCAAACAGTATTCCCTGTCCATAACAGGATCTAGCATTGGGATCTGGGAAACTCTAAGCGTAGGGCTCGGTAAATATTAAATATTAGCTGTAAATAAGTATGTATTTCTATAGCTCGTGCTTACCTTCGCCAAAAGGGTCTCATAAAATTGTTGAATATAGTCTCATCAATATTTTATTTGGCTAACTGCGTCAAAAGAAAATGTTATGTATATTTAATAAGCTTATAACAACAACAGGCCGATTGAGGCGTAAAAAAATTGTAGCCTTGTCCGTTCGCTAGATCGGGATAGAGGGTGTGTCTGGAGCTATAAGCACTCAGATCTGACGAATCGACAGATACTTATTTATTCTTAAAGCTATTACAATTGTCTTTTGGAGTGATCAGTCTAGAAATAATTTGCTCGTGCTTACGTAGAACAAGGAACCATTTTCTTCGAACCTCTGAAAGATATAATATCGTTGCAAAGAATTCCAAATTCCTGTAAATATTCGTTCAATCACTAAATAACATTCATTTTAGCATACATGGGGTCAGTAATAATTATCTGCATGTTATGAGAGTCCAGACTGCTGCCAAAAAATATTAGGCAACGCAGAGTCTTAAAACTTCCCACTTAAGTTTTATAACAAGGGTCCTCTATACGGATATATACTAATAATTTGTGTATTTGTATTGTAGCCTGTGGCGGCGGACGCGAAACCCACTGAGAATGGCGCAGCCAGCGAGCAAGAGAAACAGGTGAATGGCGATGACAAGACGCCAGCAACGCCAAGCGAGGAAACGGCCAAGCCCAGTGCTGCTGAAGTTGAGACGACCACCGAGACGAAGACAAATGTTGCCGCACCAATTGAAGCTGCCGCCAAGGAAGCAGTGGCCGCTGCCACTGCTGCAGCCGAGCCCCTGGCTGCTGCCATTGTGACCAATGGTAGTGGAGGTGCCATCGCTTCTGAAGTGCTGACCAATGGGGAGAAGAACGGTTTGGCCGAATCGCCTGTGGTTGAATCCGTGGAGCCAGCAGCAGCCAACATTCCAAGCAACAATGGTGATGATGTGCAGCCACCCGCACCCCATCAGAATGGCACGAATGGCGTTGCTGACAGTGCCACGCCTCCACCCACACCCGTTGCCGTCGAGTCTTCGGAGGCCGAGCAAATTAAGAACAAGTCGCAAATCGAGGTAAACCAAACAGTACCCGTAACAGAAACTGCAAATGCAAATGCACACAACAACAAGAACACTGTAAATACCACAACAACAACAACAACAACAGCCACAACAGAGAACAACAACACCTCAACAACAACCACTAGCATAACCACTGAGACCGAAAAAACCACCGATACAGCAGCCACCATTGCAGAGTTAGTTGAGACCCAAACAGAAACAGAAATAGAAACAGAAACCACTAAACAAATTAACACAGAAGACACAACAACAACAACAGCAAATGACGACGATGACAACACCACCACCACCAACAACAACAAAACCAACGAAACTATTTTCATTAATAACCCCAATTCCGAAGCGCAGGATCAAGAGCAAGCTGCCGAGGAAGAGAAAGTGGTTGCTGCGATAATAGCGGCGGTTAGTAGTGAGCCCGATGCTGAAGGTTTTGTTGTTGTTGTCCCTGAAACTGAATCTCTTTCCGCTCCTGAGGCCAGTGTTGTTGTTGCTGCTGCCACTGCTACCGCTGTTGCTGCTTTAGGTGCTGAAATTGGTGATGGTGATGCTAAAAATTCTGAGAATGTTGCTGGCGGTGATGTGGCGACTGCTATTATTGCTAACTCTTCTGATGTTGAAGATGCTGCTGATGAAGATGTTGCTGGTCCGGGCGCGGATGTTGATGTAGTTTTAGTTAAGCCCAGCACACCGCCACCATTGCCCAAATCCCCGCCACCCTCGCGTGTTTCCGCCTTTGCTTTAACAGATGCCCCTATCGACCAAGAAGAGTATGCAACAACAACGTCATCACTAATTCCACCGACGAGCGACGAGGACACAAAACAGCACCAGCCGCAAGTTGAAGAAGAAGATGATAATGAAGAGTTGCAAACTGAAATTGCTGAAAAGGCACAATCTATTGTCGATGAAGTAACCGAAAAGGCTGTCGAAACTCTAGAGGAGCAACAGCAGCAGCAACAACAACAACAAGATCTGGAAGATGAAGTTGTTGTTTCCGCTGCTGCTGCTGCCACCACTGTGAGTGACGACAATATTGCCCAAGAGGTTGAAAGTGCAGCGCAGCAAATTCAAAATATAAAAGCCTCGCAGTTGGAAGATGCTGTGATTGATGCCTTTGTTGCCAGCAAAGATGATGTTGTTGCTGCCATAGAGCAGGGTGTTGCTACCATAGAGCAGGATATTGCTGCCATACAGAAAGATGTTGCTAGCATTGAGCAAAATGTTGCTGAGATTGGGGACAGATTACAAGCGACTGTTCTCACAACCGAAACTGAGAATGCGCAAGAGAAGTTGCTCAGCGATAACAATGATGCCGACAGCGATAACAATGATATCGATTATGCTAAAACAAAATTGAGCGCATTGCCGCCAGTCGAAATTGAAGTTTCCAGCGATATCGAATTAGAGATTAACAACAAGGTGAATAACATGAACCAACAACATATGTGAAAGAGTTAACCATCACTCGCAAAAACAAATACACACACATAACGAATTTAACATACACATACATACGTCGCTCGTTCTCTACTAGCAATCGAAATAAAATCCAATCAAATGCTCCTCTCAACAAAAAATATCTGTTGACCAACAAAAACATCCTGCGTCTATTAACTTCAACTCTCTCTCCTTATTCTCTCGCTCTGTCATTTTGCTTCTCTGTTATCTCTGGTTGGCATCATTTGCGTTTACATTGTGCTGTTAGTTGCGCTTCTTGTGTTGTGTAGCTCTAGTGTTAACAGTAGTAGGCTAAAGCTCTGTGCTATGTTTTGATCGCTGTGGTAACTAACAGAAAATGTTGTGCATGCCCATTTAAAATCTCTGTAAAATGAATGTTACTAAACCTGCAGAATTTTGGTGGTAAAGTGTTGCTGCAATGCTTGTTGTTTGTTGCATTGGTATTAACTATAAAAATGGAACACGTAAACTGACGCTTAACTTCATTCTAATCTACACTCACATAAACACACACACACATAAATACATTGTAATATATATACAGACACATTTTTTTGTTCTAACAACGATGTTCGGCTGCATTAAAACAATCGATTTTCTAACAAACAGTATGTTAGCTTCACAGAGATGTGGAGATCACTTAACAGCGGGTTTTTAACAGCAGTCCAATTATGCCATACCAGTATATCCGCCTCATTACCACTACATAGATTTTGAATCAAAGCTGTGTAATTGGGCTGCTCTTAAAAACGTCACTATCTACCCTTTGATTACACAAACACAACTGTACTTTATTTTGTTTGTCCAACCGCTAATTTTGTTCTTCATTTTTTTCGATAAAACAGTTGATTTGTTTCTGTTGCTGCGCTCAACTGTACTTTGGCACCTGGTGCGGTGCAGTTGCACATTTAAAACCCAAAATCGAGCTTTTTTACCTTTAATTGTTGTTGTTGTGCTTTAATTTAAGTTTGCCTTTCCCCAGAACGCTTTTTTGTACACACATGCTCAACATCCTTTTTGTAATGCTGTGGCTTTCAAGACAATGCCAGTCTAATCTGTATTTATTTCTCAATTTTCTAGGATATCGCTAAGGATTTGAAGGAGAAGAACGCTGCGGCAGATGTTACAACACAGGAACTGCCAGTTACATGCGAATAATCCTACTCATAATTATTATATATAATATTACATATTATTAAAAAACAAAAAAAAAATACAAAAAACAAAAATACAAAATGTAACAAGAGAAAACAAACGAAAAACCAACAACAACAAAACAACGCAACATAAAAACAGCAATTAAAACGATAAACGAGAGCAAGGAATAAGCGAGAAAAAAAACAAAAAAAAGCAAATACATTTTTTAACATTTACATATTTTAATCATTTTTGTACGAACTTCATATCCCTAATCCAAGATTACAAAGAAAATATACGCAAGCAAACGGCAGAGTAAACGAAACAACAACAACGACACACCTACCACAACCCACCCATACATCAACAAACACACCTACACATACACACACACACACCCACACATATATATGCTTAAAGGTATTGCGGCTGTAAAGTCGTCAGCGCCGAACTGAACGTTTTTTATCAAATGTTGGTCCAAAAACGAATTTTTGATGCGGAAATTTTGTAAATCTCCACATTTCCACACACGCGCATGCACACATACACAACGTATACTACAACACATACACACACAACAACACGCATACATACCATTCTCATATTGATGATAATGATAAAAAAAAATTTTTTGAATAATTTCTACTATACATTTAATTGTAAGTTCTAAGAAATTTGTAAAGAATTTTTGGACGAAATATTGGATAAAATATATATTATAAAACACAAATAGTCTTGCTTACCGACAGATCGATCCATGATTTATGATTAGTCACGCCTTATAGCTTACTTAGAGGCAACTTAGCGACCGTTTTGGGATTTCTTAGTATTGGTTGAAAAGATGCAAGCATTAATTCAGAGTATCCATGTAGACCTTAGAGGGTGAATATTTGCAGCTTTTCCACTTTTTCCTAATGTTGCAGAATTACATATATGTTACGTTTGACATGTTTATTTTTAAAACTCGACTGCCGAAGAAAAGGAACTGGTTGCTGCGGTAATGGCAGCGGTAGTGAGTCTGATGCTGAAGGTTTTGTTGTTGTTGCCTCTGGAACTGCATCTCTTTCCGCTATTGAACCCATTATTTTTCTTGCTTCCGACACTGAAAATGTTGCTGCGGGTAGTGTTGCTGCTGTTACATCTACTGATGTTGATGACGATGTTGCGGATCATGATGTTTCTGTTAAAGATGTTGCTTAGCAAGACGCTTCAGACCGATTTATTCTGCAGCCGGATTTTTGAACAAATTGATACCAAAAAGGAAAGACTATTTTTTTTAGAGCTGTGTAAGCTTTTGAGTCCCAATTTTTTTTTAATCTTTACAAAAAGGTTTTGTTTACAATAACAAATGAATTCCATTTGGTTTGCGTAACAAAGTGTTACAAGAAAGAAATTATAGTAAACGCTTAAATTGTATCTATGAAATACTTAATATTTCCTTTTGGTTATTATCAATAAGGTTAATTATTTTTAAATTTAACGTAACTAAATGTTACCCACAAACGAAAGCCGATTGCCAACAAAAAAAAAGGAGCTTCCAAAGCAAAAGCGCGCGCGCGTTTTTGTTCCACTAAACAAATAACTAATTAATAATAAAGGTAATTAAAGCGTAACTGGCCATAAAATTAAAACGTTGCGCAACGTTTAAATATGAAAATGATAAATAATTCAACAACAAAGAAAAAACTAGTAATATCATCATAAAGGGCGAAACCAAAAATGTTTCCAAAAGAAAGACATTTTCAGCAGCATTGCCACAAGCAAACAAAAAATTGTGCAGGTTGGCAACGCTTTGTTATTTTAACAGCTGACAAAAAACCGTTGTTTATGCAGGCGCAGCTGATTCTGTTCGCTGCGCTGCTTTGGAACGCTGCGGAACATAAATACAGCGCCAAAAGCGACGTAAATAGTTGAGAGCAATATGAGCATAGGAAACGAAAGGACAATACGGGCCATGCCAATTTTGGGTTGCAGCTCCTGCGCCGGCGGTGCGATGACATATTGCTCTGAAAATCGAAAAGTATGGTTAAATAGCATTCGATATACATACAATAACTACGTTTGTGCCAACCAATCACGAATATTATTTAATTAGTTGACATCAGTGCCTTTGTTAAGCCTGTTTCCATACTCAAAATGTTTGCAATTTCGATATGCTCCCATCGACATGGTCCCCTTTTCCAAATAACGCGATTTCGCGTTCGAATTATGTTTAGTTTGATTTTACGTATTGCGTAAAACGGTCACACTATTTGTAACCGAGAAATCAACTCAAACAATTATTTGAAATTAATTATTGTAATCGCGACTTTATTACTTTGCTTTCAATAAACAACGGTTATCTACTCCAATGGATGGAAGATTTATTTTGAACTTTTCAGCGCTTTTATTTGGAGTTTTGATTTAATTTTGTGTTTCAAATAAAGCTCGCGGAAATCAAACTCAGTTTCAGGAATATGACTACAATCGTTACTTACTATATCTTGAAATGATTTCGTAGTAGCATAAGCGTAGTATACAACTGCTTAGAGACTGAACTCACCATTCAAAGTTTTCGACTCGCAGCGCTCGCCCACATAGCCGTCGGCACACTCGCAGGAATAGAAACTGTGATTGGCCAGCGGAAAGCGGAAACAGCGACCACCGTTTAGACAGAAATCCGATTTATAAGAATCGCTGCAGGGCAGCACTTCGCGTACATAGTTGAAGGAGTCCTGCACCTTCGTCTTGCCTCCTGCAGGCGGCAAGGATGTGTCTGTGTTGGAGTTGGCTTCAGTGGAGGACTCCATTGGGGAACTCGGCGTGCTGATTATTTGCTCGATTGAAGGTGGTGGCTCCCCAGTCGCTGCAGTCGTTGTCTCGCCACCAACCGCCCACGTCTCTGTGCTTTCGATGGTGATGGGCTGCTCTGTGGTTGTTTCTGATAGTGCTGCTTCGCCCAGATCCTGCCAATCCAGCAGCGGCTCTTCCGTTCCTCCCCCCTCCGACTGTTGCTGCTCGCCGAGCTCCAACAATTGCTGCTGCGCCAGCAGCTTCTGTTGCATCTCCATTTGGTTCACCATATCCACAACACGCCTTTCGATCTGCTGCTGCAACTGGTGGGCATGTTCGTGCAGATGGTTGTGAAAATTGTCCTGATGCTCCACAATTTTCAGCGTGTGCTCGCGCAGCAGTAAAATTCGGCTTGAACAACAATCTATGTGGGTGTTTGGAGAGACAGAGAGAGAGGGAGAGAGATTGGAGAAGAAGAAAGAGGACTAGAGTGCAGTGCTGACCATTTTTGAGTGTCCAAAAAAGCTAGATCAGCATTCGAAACAAGTTAGAAAAAGCCAATAAATTTAAAATGTTGGTCAAAGCAGATTTTCTTGCTCTAACAGGAATTTGTTCCAATGGGTTTCAACTTGTCTTAGAGGACTTAATGTTATGGTTATAAATTTACATTCCTATAAAAAACGTAAGAGACGCTTTTTCCAATGAGTTTATATTGACTATGACTGAAGACATATAAAACAAATTAGCTATATTTTTTATGACTGCTAAACATATAGTAGTCTGAGTCGGGCTCTACCAACCATTCTTTTATGGATAACAAGCTCTCTAAATATTAAAACAAATACTTTAGATAAGAGATGCATTTGGATCGAGCGTCCGGCTAGAGGAACTACTTTTGTATAAAAGAGAAAATTTGATTTTTCAATGATTTATTATTTTATCTATACCAGCATATATTATTAAGTATAAAAACGCTTTTTACTCATTCCCCAATGGGCAATTTAAAAACTTCAAAACTAGTGGCAAACATTTAAATTGGCAACACTGCCAGAGAAAGAGAGTAATGTAAAAAAAACAGCTGTTGTTTTGCATAACTAAACGGCACTGCTATGTTAAGCTCTGTCATTATTGCTGTACATGGTACATAAGAGTTGAAAGGTTTAACATTCAGTGTTCGTGTGACGTCAAAGACGGTATTCCTGATTGCTGTTTCAAACTCAAATTTGTTCAAAAGTATAACGAAACCTAGACAGAAATGTAAATGCAAAACCGGACCTCGCTAATTAAAACACAAATATATGATAAGTACAAAAAATGCGACGAATGAATTAATTTATTTTAAAAAAGGTCACTTCAGCAATTGTAGAATCTACGTCTGAGATGTTGTTTTGAAAAATTTGCATGCTTACTCAAAGCATATTATGACGTATTGACACAGGTTGCAGCCTTTAATGGCATACCTTCTCTCTTTTTACCATGATTGTTATAGGCTAAGCTTAGCAAGCATTGGCAGCACTGCGTTATGTTATTGTTGAAAGCCGTGTTTCACTTACCTGTTACAGAGACAATTGTTGACAGCACGAAAATTACTTTAAGGATTTGTATAAATTGAATTTGCATCATTTGAAGAGGCACGATAAAGCAGCGCACCCCTTTCTGGATAGACTAATTGTTAATTTGTAGAAGTTGTACGATTTTAACGTTAAACGAAGCTCTAAGGATCGAGCGGTGTGTCGGACGCAAATGTGGTTTGACGTCGCAATAGACACAGAAACATATTACTCATTTGCATCTCAAAATGAACAGAATGTGCTTGTGCTTGTTGTAGTTGCCGTTTTCAAAGAAAATTTACTGCAAAATATAAATAGAATGTATTTAATGGGTTTTGGTTGAGACGCTGGTTGGGCGACAGCGGCGACAAGTCTTTCATATGGCGCCCACATTTTCTGTCGCACAAACGCTCACACACATACACACGCATACACCCACAACAAAAACAAATGGACTGAGAATTAGCATGGGGCTTTACATATCCGAATTACGCACCGGCAAAACAAATTTAATTTTAATTTAATACACAAAATAATTGGCAAATCATAATTGATTACAAAAATTAGATTAACTAGGTGTTTAAAGCGCGACGCGCAGCACACTCGGCACTGTAAAAACTTTAGATGTTGTTGCGCGAACGACTGAAAAGAGACTGGGAAAAAATAGACGACCAGATCAGGTGCATTAACAGAGCAGAGCAGTCGACAGCAGAGCAGAGGAGAGCAGAGGAGAGCAGAGCAGAGCAGAGCAGCCAACATGAATGAATGCCTGAGTAGAAGAAACGTGCCACGCTAAAGAGGATTGCCAAAAGCGTCGTAATGGTAATGCATGGAACATTTTTCAAGAGAAAACAATCACAAAATCCGAATTTAATCAATGACGTGCTTTTCACAAAAATATCTTCGTATCTTATGATAAAGTGCTCTCATAGTGCAATATTTATTGCATAAAATTTGAATTGGCGTACTGCCTTTCGTAATGGATTTACTCAATGAATTTTGCGAATCGTTATTGAAACCAAACGATAGTATTTGCAGTCGATATTTTTTTTCACTATTGGGCGCCAATAGTTTTCTGTTAAATATGCATGTAGGTATTGTTGAGCTTGTTTTGAATTCCGTACTTTCCTTGAATGTGATTAGCCATTAAAATATATGAGGGTTGTACATTTCCAACGGATTCCGTTAGCTTTCATGGGGACTAACTGGTCAAAGGTCATATTCACTTTACGTTTCTCTTGTTGACCGAGAGATTCTTAAAGAAATAAATTTTTTTAACAATTTTTCATCATTTATTCTTACGTGTCAAATAGTAATTTTATTCAACGCATTTCTCGTTCGATTTTTATTAAATTCAATGCGTCGTTGATTTTTTTTTACGTAGTTGCATTTTACTGGTTTCCTATGACATTTCTATTTGGTTTAATCTTTTTGGTTTTTGTATTTTATTTAGATATAAATACGACATCACTTGTTTTGTAATTGATATTTCTCCTATGCAATTTTCTTGTATTTCTATATAAAGCAATAAATAACTTGGTTGTTGGGGGCGAGCTTAATAAATTTTGCCACGACCCCACATTCTTCTTCACGCTATACAGACTTAAAGTAATTTAAAATTTAGTTTTAGTTTCCTCCACTATACACAATATACAATATTTACATAAAAGATAGCAAAATTAATTGAAAGATTGGAAAACAAAAGCGGACAAGGAATTAAAATGTGTAAGTTTTAATAACACTTATGCCATTTGTTTAAACATATTATATAAAAAACTAGTGAACTGTCTCTATGCCTATTTTCATCAAGTGTAAAACATATAAAGGATTTTTGAGCAAATTGTGTTACATATTCTAAAAAACAGTTTAAAAGTTGCGAGTAAACAAAAAGCAGCTAGCACGGCGTTGCCACACCACAGCACTGACCACTGTTAAGCTTTGCTGTTAACCAGCGCTGTTAAGCCAAAAGCTTTTTCAAGATGGCCGCTGCTAAGACGTATGTTGCTGCTGTTGTTGTTGTTGCTGGTGTTGTTGGTGTTGTTGGGCAGCCGCAAGCAGCATGTTACGCGATTGCATTTCAAAATAACGTAAAAGTATATTTGAGTATCAGTAATGCACGCCAGGCGTTGCAGGATTGGGCGTGGCGGCAGGACCGCTGCTGCCGCTGTTGTTGTTGTTGCTGCTTGCATTATTATTATTGTTGTTTGTGCTAGTATTATTTGTGCTACCCGAATCGCCTAGCCAGGAATCGGGACTAGGCGGAAAGTCCGGATAGCCCTGGTCGGGACTAGAATCGTTGCTCAAATCCGAAACGTTGTTGCTGCTGTGCAGGCGATGATGTGACTTGGTAGTGCCATGCAGATTTGAACCCACTGCGTGATCTAAAAAAGTGGATAAAGAATTTTAATTTTTTTTATAAATGATTAAATTTTGACATATCAAACAATGTTGTAAATTATTTATAAAAAAAACTACAGAATAAGTTCAAATGTATGGACATAGCAGGTATAAGAAATATGATTTTCAGGGGGACTATAACCAATAATACATTTTCAAAATGAAACAGGTATATATATTTGTTTAACTATTCTCCCAATCTATTTGAAATCTATGTTATTAGCTTTGCTCCTTAGAACTTTTATTATTAGAAATTCAGATAAATCGACAAGTTTAAAATAACATTAATGTATTGAAATATGTTTTGGAGTAATGGTTTAAGCAAAATACATACTTGTATGAAATATACTGATTATAAACCGATCTGTGCAAAGATTGCAAATCATTTAAAGCTGTTTACCGGTAATAATTAATGATTACATTACTAAATACTATACATATATTCTAGAAACTAGGTTAGTATTTATTATTATTATTATTATTATTTAATTTAACAATTCAATAAATATTATTGTCTATTGGAATGTCTATATAATAAATTCTTATCCCTGCGGTTTTGTAAATCACCTTTTTTTACTTAATGCTCTATATAGTAAATAATTTTCAAGATATATGAATAATATCAGCGTTAGGTATGTATTTCCACAGCATTAAGTGTCAAGTTTAAGAAGCAAAGTGAAGAAGGGTGGAGAACTGTGATAATACCGTTAGCCGATAATTATAGAAGCAGTTCTGAATATGTTTTATATTACAACCATTAATTTATGATTTTAGAACTAGATGGAACAAGCAATATAGCTGTAGAACTGTTAAAACCCTTTTATTTCTTTTCCACTATCCAATTAGAGTTAATCAGCATAGAGACTTTCGAATATACTTCTTTTTCATTGTGCGCTACTCACCGATATTGGTGTAAACGATATTGTCTGGATATGAACCGAATGTATGAGTTTGGCCCACGGGTGGTGGGGAGCGACTGCTTGGCGGATATTGCGAGGGACTCGAGCTGCCGTGCATATATGAGCCGCGTATGCTGTGCGGGGAGGCGCCCTCATCCAGACCCAAGTTGACGGTGCTATAGCTGTCGTTGCTCAGATCTGTGTAACAACAAACAATAATAATGGTCAGACTAAATATAGAGAAGGGTAAATCAGAAAGCTAAACCCACCATGATGACTGAAACTATCATAGTCCACCTTCAGCTCATCCTTATCTAGGAATTTGTCAGTGCGCGGCGAGCAGTTGCCCTTCATGGAGCGGAAATATTGACTCCAACGCGTGCGTCCTGCATCCTTTTTCAGTCGTTTCTCTTTGGCCCGTCTACGGGGATTGGTGTAGAGGCGTGTTAGTTTGATGGTGTTTCGACCTTCAAAGACTTTGTGAGGTGAAGCGCTTACCTATTTTGAAACCACACCTGCACGACGCGCATGTCCAGCCCCGTATCCTGGGATAGCTGCTCTCTAACATGTCGCGCAGGTTTCGGACTATTATTGTAGGCGGTTTTCAGCGTCTCCAGCTGCTTGGCGGTGATTGTTGTGCGCGGTCGCTTGTTCGGCTGATCACCATCCAACGATCCGTCCAAGTAGAGGCCTTTAAGTGGATTATTATGTGAATTGGAGTAAGAATAATAGGAGCTCGCAACACACTCACCTTTCGCCTTGGCCTCCTCGTAGTCGCGCTTGCAGATGAGTTTGCGATCCTCCATCAGATAGAACTCGTCGCCCGTATTGAGGGTACGGGAACACATGGCGCACAGAAAGCATTGCATATGATAAACATTGTCCTGGGCACGTCGCACCACCTGGGTGGGCGGTATGCCCATATCACAAGCGGAACACTTCGTACCATAGCGTCTGTTCGACCCAAACATTGGCAGCATCAAATCAAAGTTTTTCGTTAAACCGGCTACGACTCACACGATATCGAAATGTTGGGGCAGGGCCAACCATTCGAGAAATTTACTTACTTGAAGAAGTCCTCCTTGCAGAACAGCTGCCCATTCCTGGCAAAACACTTATCGTTCAGCTGGGCGTGGCACTCGCTACACTGCAGGCACTTCGCGTGCCACGTCCTCTCCAGCACCTTCAATATAAAGCGATCCAAGATCAGTTCGTGGCAGCCACCACACTTCGGTATCGTCGCTGTAAGTCCAATCAAGTAAGAATATGCCATTAGTTAACATTAACTAAAATAAAGCAGCTCTCGGTTATTTAATTTAATTGTTGAAAACTGCCTCGAAATGTGGATATTTCAACTAATTTGATTGATATTTCTTTACTTGGCACTCAGAAAAAGGCTATAATGATATTGTTCAGATGTAAATAATAATATTCAAACGGAAACTATTAAGTTTTTGAATTTCTAATAATAAATGCTTGAAAAATGAAAGAACATTTTAAAAAAGAATTATTTGGAGTGAGTAGGCTTTGCATTCACTAATCAAGCATGAATTGAAATATATTTCAGAAACAGAAAGTCCTATCGTTCATGCTCGTAAAAGAACTAAAAAAATCTCCCTTATTCATCATAGTATTTGTAAAGGATGTAGGATTTCAGCTTCAATCAGAGCTCGACAACATCTTTTGAGATTCCTTTCAGAACTTCAAATACTTAATAGTAAACAATAATGAAGAACAGACAGCGCTTGAGGCATTGCAATTGTTTTTTTTACCATTAAATGCAGAATTTTTAATATAATATCCCCATATTCATATTTCCATTGCAATATTTTCTAAACGCTAATATCGAGTAATGATTTTGGCTCATTATATTATCCTGGATACGTCTATCACTAAAAATATGCGCTATTTTTGGTATTTCTCAATTAAAACGATATATTTATAATTCAATATTTTATATGCACTTTAAAAATAAAGTTTCTTCCTAATCGTGCAACTGATGCATTTGTATTAAACATTTATTTTTAAAAACCCTGATAATGAATTTTGAATTTGTAGCCAAAAATCTGCCACATTTTTGACGTCAAACAAACAGGCAAGTAAGAATGTGTATTCAACGAAACCTAAATAGCAAGAATAATAAAAATATATAATCATAATGTGTTAGCTTTGAAAATTATAGATTCCGAAAGAATGAAGCCACCGAGAAAATGAAAGACCAATTGAATATATTGAAAAGCCCTTTTAAAAGTAAAAAGGTTTAAAAAGAAATAAGCACGTCAGCAAAAGTATGTAAACAATCGAAGAATTTAGAGCAAGTTGTTAGAATGTCTATACATGTTTCCCAAAGAATCACGTCGTGGCATCTTAGACAATTCCTAGGTGTAGTTTTTTTTAAGTTTATTGAATAAAAGGAATAAATGAATAAATTGACTGATTTCCATTAAATAACAATTTAGCAGTGATTTGCATGATTTGCAGTTAGTCAAAATTATTATTTGTTTTATTTAATTTAGCTTTCAAATATCTGTTTAAAAGTACTATGAAACACGACCAACAAAGTTTGAAAGTTCAAGGATGCCCAGATATATAGTATTAATACAAATAAAAAATGTATATACTCGTAAATATGTATGTCCAAAACTAAAGCAATAAACTATGGAAAACATTCGATATGTATTTGCCGATAATTAATATTAGTTTTGGTAGTCCATTGACGTCGTTATATTTGCCAACAAAGTTTTTGATTTAGTACCATGTCTCTAATCAACAAAAAACTGTATAAAACAATTATAAACTCAATTTTGTAAGTTGCTTTTGAATCGTGCTTTATAATTCTATCCTAAAATACATAATAGAGAAATATTGCGACTAGCGTATTATTGATAGTTAATGACTTAATTTCACTGTTGTTGAAAAAGGTTTTGTATTTTCTTCTTCTTTATTAAGGAACCTGAAATGTTTTGGTCAAAGTTTATCTACAAAAGGCAAATCAGAAATTTGGAAAGTGCACTTATACTCGTAATCATGAAAATTAGGATTCAGAGAGATTAGCTTGAACAGAAAAATGGACATAATTCACGAAAATTAACGTGACTGTAAAAAAAATATATGAAAAACGTTCTTTTTGGGGTGTTTTGTAATAATAAAATACTTCTTATTGTCAATTGAACCTATTAACTTTTACAGTTATTCCCTCGAAACAGCAGCTATTAGACTTTTTAGTATTCAAAAGAAGCGTCTTTGGTTTTAGCAACGCATTTCCCATTCAGCATAAAACTCGACAATTGGAGAGTTTAAAACAAGCTTCAAATTACAGAAGTATTAGTTTTTCTAGTCAGAAAAAGGACGAACTCTATAAGACAATTAACTAAGCCGATTGTTTTTATATAGGTATAATATAATTTTCAAAAATTTCTTTATATTTGACTGCAGTTTAATAATTTTCTGTTTTGAAGTTTTAGATTCCCATAAATACTTAATCTCAAATGGGCTTTCCTTAATGTGCTTGAAGAATTCGTTAATACTTTTAAAATACTTAGAGAAAACATTTGGCTTTGTCAATAAGAAAATCTGAAGAAGAGTTTAACAAATTGTGTTTTTGCTATTTAGGTTGAACATTAAAAAGATAGTAAGCTTTTTATTTTTAAAGTGATATTGAAAACTTAAGGATACATTTGTTTCTATTATGAGTTACTATTCAAAATTATGACAGTCTCTGAGAGAAGGGGGCTAGGCTAAAAATTTGTAAGGAATAGGAAGGCCTTAAGGCGGAATAGCAAAAAAAAACTTCTAATGTACGTGTAAAGTAGAAAAAAATATTGTAAAATAATAGGAAATTTCAATGTTTTTTAAAGTTATCTGTAAATTGATTTAAAAATACCATTTTATAGAAAGGTATACTTTGTTTAATTAGGCAATGAATTAAGAATCTTGCGTGGTACACGGACATTACTATAGCTCTAAGGGATCAGTGGTCTCCAAGGAATTTCCTCATAACAGGGGGCTATAACGACCTTGAGAAGTTCATAGTGTTTGAATGGGTATTTAGAAGTGGCAAAAACTAGCTGAACGAACTTGAAATCAACCCTTTTGAACGGTGAACACTTACAAAGTAGAAATTCGGGCAATTGACTTAAATTTATCGGCGGTACGCGATCATCACATTTGCCATTGGACAGAAAGTCACTTTTGAACATCATTAGCTTCAAAAGTTCCATGCCTGGTCGCACCACTAACTGGTGGGGATGGTGTGGGGGGCTTTTATAATTTCGTTATTTAGACACTATATGCTTTATTTCCTGTTGCTCTATGCACACTTTCACTTATCGGCAGTCACATTTTACACTTCAGCTTCACATTTGTAGCATTTCACACTTTCTGCTGTTTGCTGCCATTTTGCATTTGTGCCAACGCCGACGGCGGACAGGCAACAGAGATACGGTTACGATTACGGATACGTGACACGGCAACAACAACGTGTTTCTTTTTTCTGCTTCTACTTGTGCTCTTCTCTTTTCTTGTTTTTACCGTTATCACAGTTTACCGTGTGCAGCACATTGCACGAATGATGACGGCGCTGTATTTTGGTTCGGTCTGGCAAGTGCGGCGACGTCGACGCTTGGAAAGCGACTGACGAGTGAATAAGCGAATGGGGTTGCCTGACCGACGTCGTTCACTGTGCATGCACACACACACATACATAGTCGCTGACATAATCACAGCCCAACCCTTAAAAATCAAATGGCACTTCCAATTGGAATGGAAACTGTGAGCTGCTGCACCCTGTGAATATTGTTTCTCTTGTTGCTTTTGTTGTTGTAACTGTTGTTCATATTTTGGCTGTGCTAGTTTTCCACTGAACAATCGAGTTTGGGTTGGTCGCGCTACAACAACAACGGCGGGGAAATTGCATTGTAACACTTTGTGCGCGAGTGTGTGTGCGTGTCGCAGTTTTTCTATTTGTGTATTTGTGTCTGGGATTGGTTGTTTTGTGTGCGTCAACGTTGGCGTAAGCGCTGACGCCGCTGCCTGCAGTTTTCGGGGAGTGGTCTCAAAGCTTTTTCAGCAATGCTTTTTGCTTGCTCTCGCTCTCACAAATACTTTACAGTTGCGCCGCTCTCTCGCTCTTGCGCATTTACTTTGGCTTGCAAATTTTTCGTGCCCTTTTCTGTGTATTCTAAAGAAATATATATGTATGTATGTATACAAACATATATGTGCAGCTGCATTTGCCATCTGCACGTGAGTGTGTGCGTGTGTGTGGCACTTGGCTGCCATCGTAATTGTTGTTGTTTCTACTGCTACTGCTGTGTCATTGTTTTGGAACCGTAAAATGACCTTAAAGCCGTTAAATTTCTGTGTTATTCGTTTTGAGCTCCGCCAGCAGCGGCAGCTCACAAAAATTTATATCAATTGCTTTTGCCACATTGCCACACACACACATATACTTGTATGTACATTTACATACACTCTGGAGTCCAAAATTCGACTTCACCAGCCACTTCCACATCCCTGGCTGGCAATAGCCAGCTGACGCATATGAGCTGCAAAGTGCTTTTACTCAGTGTGCTACTGTCCTCTGGACTTTGGCAGTTTCAACGCTTAAGTTGAAATGTGCGTGCCAGACCCGCCTAACCGCACATCTACACACAGCCATACACCTACACAAATACATATACACACATACAAACATATATACAAATGTACGTACATCAACAAAAGCTGTGTCCCAAAACGTTGCCATTTGCATGGCGTTTTAAAGGCTTTTCATGTCATATGGCTTTTAAGAGGGTGCTAGCGGGTAGGTTTGGGAACGACAGACATTCGTCATTTGGCTCTTTGAAGTTTTCGCCATGGCCTTTAAAATTGTTGAGTATTTGTTTTGTTAAATTTGTATTTATGTTCGTATATGGCACATTAAGAGCATTAATTGTCTGCTTTTTTAAAAGCAAAATATGTCCACATGATATTTTATTTTATTTTGTTACTTTATTTTGCAACATAAAATGTTCTGTCGCATTGTCAGTACACACACACACACAAAACCAGCCACAGAGAATATTTTATGTGGCCATATAAAATTGAAGCGCGCTTTTAGGAGCACATTTAGCTAGGAACATATTTATAAATAACATACAGAATAGGATCGTGCGATGGTCGAAATTCAATTCTTGCTTTAAATTTGAATTACCAAGAAATTAAAAATAACAACAAAAAGAATAATTTTTTAATACCGTTTA